ATGAGATAAGATCTTCGGATAATTATGAATACCCAACTTGAAGTTTTTTTAGCTTCTTATGACTCGAAACATTACGGATACCCATGTTAGCAGTTTTCAAATTGCAGGAACTTGAAAACTTGTAATCAGCCCTAAAATTAATCAGAGGAAAATACCTATGTTAGCAGTTCCCAAATTGCAGGAATTTGAAAACTTGTAATCAGCCCTAAAATTATTCAGAGGAAAGTTCAACGCAACACCTTTTTACCCTTATCATCTGCAGCTCCTAATTATCCCGTGCCGTGAGAATAATTCTTTTGTCCTGTTTTGTAGATTGCCGGGCACAGGGACCTTCTAGAAGGAGACCCATACCTGAAGCAACGACTCAAACTGCGTGATTCCTACATAACAACCCTAAATGTCTGCCAGGCGTACACTCTGAAGCGAATTCGTGACCCCAACTATCACGTCAAGCTGAGGCCTCATATTTCGAGGGAGTACATGGAGTCCAAACAAGCTGCAGAACTTGTGATGTTGAACCCCACAAGTGAATATGCACCTGGGTTGGAGGACACACTCATACTCACCATGAAGGGTATTGCAGCTGGACTTCAGAACACCGGTTAAATTTATATATGCACTTTTCGTTGTTTCCTATTAAGAGAGAGGGATAGAGAGAGAGAGAGAGAGTTGAATGGGAAGAGATTCAGATCTCTCCAATTATTTTATTGCACAACTCAATGTTTTGTTTAAAAATGTTGCGAATAACGATATGACCATCTTTTGTCCATTGCAAATGGAGCTGGAAGAGTCATTGTTGACAATTCTCCTTGCATAGTGTTAATAATGGACTAGATCAAAATAGCTCAATTAAATTCTAGTGCTTCTTTTATTAGTGAAGTTTCTAGAAAAAAATAAATATATCAAACGGCGCAATGCACCTTGGGTCGCTACGGAAACAACCTCCTTGTATAATTACAAGGGTAAGGTCTGCGTACAACTGACCCTTCAGACCCAACTTGTTTGGAATATACTGAGTATATTGTTGTTGTTGTAACGATATGACCATCTTGCTCTGAAAAGGTAATGTTTTGATGGTTAATCGGTATCCCTTTTTTATGCTTCTTGACTGAATAATTCGCAAAACGCAAAACGCATAACTTAACAAATAAACAATCCAACGTGCATTTTGATTGATTGACCCATGTGTGTCTCAGTCAAACCTGAGAAGAGAATGAGAGAAGGGACTTCACTTCACTCCTCGCATATCAGATTTTGCTTGGCAGAAGAACAAACATTGAATTTGTGGGTTTTGGTTTAGGTGAATTGAACAAAATAAATAAATAAATAAATAACAAAAAATAAATTTTAATGTAATTTTTTAAATATTTATTATTTAATAATCTTGTTTTATAGTTTTAGATTTTTACTTAAAACAAACATTGTTGTTATTTCTTTTGTCACGGTCCCAAATGATACCGTCCATTTAGGATGGTGTCTTGTCTCAAATCGATTCTAGAAACAAGGTAAGAGCAACTCCAACCGATTCCAATACTCAAACGCAAACGGACAATTTGCTCCAATGTATACTCAAAACCAAACGCAAAATGCGTTTGAGACACTTTTCTCTCTCCTCTCACCTCAAATATGCGTCTGCACTGTTGATGAACGCATAATTTTGTTGTTCACTACAAATTTGTCCTTTATTTTTAGATAATTACATTTATAGCCATAGAAACATTTATGACCTCTTTAAGTTAGTTTTTTAAACAATAAAATAAAGATAAAAAATTGATAGACCAAAAAATGTTTATCAAATATTATGAACCATTAAATTAACAAAAAGTATCCAAGTGATTTAATAATATAAAAAATTTGAGAAACATTGTTGGTCTAAATTAATAAAACAAGCTAGTTCTACTTTGAATTTTCAATTACTAAATACATATTAATTTCAAAGTTTGGTTTATATATACATGTGCTATAGATAATAGTTAATTAGGATAATATTTTTAAAATATTCTTTAGAAAATGAGAGTAATTTTAAAATTTGCTAATAAGAAAAATCAAACATGATCATCTTTTTAAAATATTTCACAAATAAGAAAATGAACTCTACATGGTTGAACTTAAAAAAGAAAGAAGCCATTAATACTAGCAACTAAATTTATAAGTTTTTTAAACATGAGGTATTATTGAATAACTATTAAAAGAAAATATTTCGTTAATAAGCCAATTTTTTTTTTTTTTATGAATTATTAATTTTACTTTTTAGTAAATTTATTATATAATGTTCAAATGGAATATAAAATAATAGTGGGTCTAATTTGTAAAGTTGTAAAATATATTGGTAGTATTGAAAAATATAAAAGTTGATGGGAAAGAGAATATTGTGGGAATATTCTTTTGAGTTTGAGAATGAGTTTGTCGGTTGGAGAAGAATTAGTGTTTGATGTGACAGTTACTGCAAATTGAGTTTAAGAATGAGTTTTTCGGTTGGAGATGGTCTAAGTACCGGAATCAGAATGGGTCAAATTCCAAACAGTACTCACCCCTGTAATTTTTCGTGGCCCCCAACTCTAGGCTTTTAAGTTTTAAAGTATGGTACTCAATAGTCAACCCCTACTCAAAAGGAGTGTAGGGAATATGTGCTACTGCATTGAGCACATCGCAGGATTTCATTTGTTGGAATATGTGATTGGAGCACTTTTTAAAAAGACACAAGACCTTCTCAGCCTAGGATTATCATTCAAAATTTACTGCGCTCTATTAGCAAAGAATGAATTCAAACCCATAACGTGTAATATTTTTCGTATTCATTTTCCTCCATTTTTCTGAATTCAAACCCATAACGTGTAATATTTTTCGTATTCATTTTCCTCCATTTTTCTTTTACGCGTTGATCTCTTCTTCTTCTTCATCATCTTCCATTCTTGTTATAGAGTTGATTGCATAATAGGCGTGTTCGGATACAAATATGTCCGCTCAAAACAAGTTTTTTTTTATTAACTATATATATAGTTAATTTTGAAAAATGTAGTATGATTAGTTGTTACTAGAATTTTGAGTTTATATTAAAACAATATTTAAAATAAAATAATTAAAATTATTTTGATTTAAAAATATGAGAGAAATGATGTGAAGTGATAGGTAGTCAAAATTATATGAATAGATAAATAGTGAATTAAAGTTGATGCAATGTGTAACAATGATTAATTGATATTATTTACTTATATGGATAATATTGAGGATAGTGAAGTTGGTTAAAGTTAATTTATATTTTGGGTATGAATTAAAAAAAATTATAAACAAACACCCCTTTAATGTATTGACCATTACTTCCATCAAATGTCTCAAGTTGCTTATATATGGGCAATGCTATATGTACACCCCTTTTTACTAATTGTACAACCCCCTTCTTAATTAATTGATAAAATATTGTATAATTATTTAAATTACTAAATGTACACCCCCCCAATTACTAAATATACACTCCTCTTATCACATCACCTTTTTTTTTTAGTGACATGACCACTCATTTCTAATTATACACCCCCCTATTGTCAAATCAACTTTTTTATTTTTTTAGTGACATGACTCACACTTCCAATTATACACCCCCTTATTGTCACATCATCTTTTTATTTATTTTTTAATGATATGACCCACAAATTACCAATTATACACCCCCCCTATTGTCATATCATATTTTTTCTATGCTTTCATTATTATACAACAATTTTTGTATGACAACAATTTTTGTATGACAACCATTTTCTATGATGCTTTCATATTTTTTCTATGCTTTCATTATTATACACCCTTTTATATTCTATATATAGCCTTCAATATATGAGCTCAAATATGCACACTCCTAAAAATTTCATAAATTTCATATACACATTACGGTTTTATATATATCATTTATTTGAAGATGTCAAGATCCGATGACTTTGTTATTGATAACACGGCAGAATTTACCGTTGAAGAGGTACTTTTGTTAATAATTTTATAAATATATTTTATATTTACAGTAATAGAATTTTTAATATTAAATGACTATGCTAATTTTTTTTTGTAGGATTTTGCTACTTCTGAAGAATTGTTGAATTGGGTTAACAATGTCGCTAAATCTCTTGGTGTTGTTGTTATAAAAAAACGTTCAAAGTTTTCGAGAAAAAATGAATTAAGAAAAATGTGGTTGCGGTGCGACTGTGGCGGTGAGTATAAAGATATTGGTTCTAGTAAAGACACCGCATCAAAAAAAAATCGGTTGTCCTTTCGAGCTAGTTGCTTCGCGTGAAAATAATTTGGTTAAATCTTGGAAGTTAGAAGTAGTTTGTGGCATACACACTCATGCAAATGCTACAAATTTTGAAGGACATCCGTTTGCGATGCGTTTAAATGCAGAAGAAAAAAAGTTGGTGGCAGAATTGACCAGAGCTCATGTTAGCCCACGTGATATTCTCGGTATAATACGAGCTCGAAATGAAAATAATTTTTCCTCCTTAAAAAATATTTATAATGAAAGACACAAGATAAGAACGTCCATGTATGCTGGTAAAACCCCAATGGAGGTTCTTTTGATCACTTTGGAGGATAAAAGTTTTATTTACGAGCTTAATAAAAACCGAGAAACCAATGAATTGGAAGATTTATTTTTTTGTCATCCAACATCTTTGGCGATTTGGCGGTCATTTCCGCAAGTTTTACTGATCGATGCCACGTACAAGACAAACAGGTAATTTTCTTTTATCTGTTTTTTATCCATAAAAATATTTAATATTTATAAAATAAATTCTTATATTATGTTTATCCAAATGTTTACAGATACAATATGCCACTGTTAGAAATGGTTGGCGTGACTTCAACCAATAGTACATTTTGTATTGGTTTCGCCATCATGAATCAAGAAAAAATATCAAATTACGTTTGGGCGTTGAATCAGCTAAAGTTGAGGTTGAAAGAGAATGTTTATCCAAATGTCATTGTTACGGACCGAGAGTTAGCTCTAATGAATGCATGCACGATCGTGTTTCCGGATTCCAACAGATTGTTGTGCAGGTGGCATATTTCGCAGAGTATTTTAAAGAATTGCAGACCTTGTTTTAATTTACAAGGTTGGAATTCATTCAACCACAGATGGGATGTGTTGATAAAATCTCCAACAGTGGAAATATATTCGACTAATTATATTCGGCTACAACAATTTTTGTATGACAACCAAGGTATACACATCATAGAATTATTGTCTTTTATTTTAAAATGTCATATTTTTTGTATAATTATTTTACATGTAGGTTTGAAACGATATTTTTTTACAGTTTCAGGTCATGTACTCACGTACTTAAATGACACTTGGTTGGATCCGTACAAAGAGAGGTTCGTATCTGCTTGGTGTGATAAATATCTAACATTTGATAATAATACAACCAACAGGGTTGAGAGTTCACATGCTCACTTAAAAAGTATGTTGAACTCGTCACAAAATAAGTTAGATAAGATAGTCGAAACAATAGAAGATATAATAAAATTACAATACATATCTATTAAAGATAAATTAGAAAAAAGCAAAATAAAATTGTCACATAAGTTGAAAAATTCACGTCAATTTAAATTTTTACATG